AAAAAATCAGCATGTTAAGGGTTAATGTGACTAATAACTTAAATCTGAGTATCCTCCAGGAGAGTGAAACGCTCAGGACACTAAGACACATGGTAAAATTAAAGGAAATTTGCATGTCAGATTCATCTGCAAAAATAAATGAGATTTCTACCAGCATCAACTTCGGGGGGTGGGGGGTATGTGTGTGAATAAAAGCACTTTCACTTAATGTACTGAGTGAAAGAACAGCAATTCAGAAAGCCATTAATCAGAAATCATTTCCTAACAGTTTGCACCAAATGGGAATCCCCTATACTAAGTTTTCTTCAGGTATCTACTTCTGAGAGGAAAACAAAGTTCTAACTGCCCATCTCAATCACACTTTCCTGCATTTTAGGGATTACAGACAATTTCATCTTCGATGTTGAAATAACCCTTTAGTCTGACCTCAGTGCAAAACCTCTAGAGTTCTGATTTATACTCTTACTTGGACCTGCCTTTTTGGAACTTACAGGTAACCACTCATCTACAGTTCACATGGCTTCTAATCTGGGGGGAGAGTAACCAAGTGAGAAGCAGGGTCCTGAAATGCTGACCTGTTTTGAAGATGGAAAATCCTGGCATCAACTTCGGAAATCAATGGGCCACCCCAGAGTCTAGGGATGGCCAATCCAGTACACGGAAAGGACAGGTACTTTGTCAAAGGTGGCCAGCTTCACCATGCAGCCCCGCCCGGGTCCCAGCCCCCAACCCTCTCCTGGCACTTGCTGTCCACACTGCTTGGCTCTCAGAACCCTGAGGCTTGTGATGAATAACTAGGCATCCTTTTCTGAAAAGCTGCCAACTCAACCCCCCCTTAAAGGTCACCCTCCCTCAGATGGGCCCGGTTTTCTGGGATTCCTCAGCTCCTACAGCCAAAGGGGGGAAACCATTTTTCTCTTCAAACATCAACTTTCATTCTCAGAGAAGGAATATCAAGCACCGTCCTACTTGGGTAAGCCGAAATATCGACCCTGAAACAGGACTTCAAAATGGAATGTCATCAGAAAAAGGGTGGAGAAAGCTGATTTCTTCACCCTCAACGATGGAAAAATACAGAGCTTCAGTTAGCCTCCCAAGTTACGTACAGTATTTGATGTGTACCCAGCAGGGAAATGGCTCAAGATTCAAACCTGGCTCAGCAGCGCTGTGCAAGCACATGAACGTGAATGAATTCCCTGCGGACGGCTTGCACATACCAGGCAGACCACCCAGGATGAAGAGCCACAACAGTAGACCCCGGTCATCCATGGGAATTCATACTGATGCTGTCTCCAGCGTGTATTCAGAGAGCCTGGGTGACAGTACATTTTAACTTAACATTTAACATTCACCATGAAGGAAGAGAAAGAGAAAACAGAAGGTTAGCCAGATGTAACAGACTATTTAGCCTGTCAAGTAAGGTCACTTTTTGAGAGGCTGTTTCTATCGATATAAGTAGAGAAGGGCATGGGTCTTGCTAACTGAGGGGGAAAGAAACGACTTGGCTCACTCCCTTTCCCAGTAGCCAAAGTAGGAGATACGGCTGCTTGGGGTGCCACGGCCCCCGAGGAAGAGCATCTGAGGCGGCCGGCACTCTCGGACAGCTGCTGGGAGCAGCCTGAGCAGGACAGAGGCCTCAAATGGACCCAGACCTTCCGGGCTTGAATCTCAACTTCCTCAATGCCCAGGGCCAGACAAGCTTGCTTCTATTCTTCCTTCAGAAGCAGGCAAGGCCAAGCTCTCCAGCAGCCTCATGGAGATGAAGTGAGCACGGAACAGATCAAGCCAACCCACAGAATAAGCCAAACAAAAATAAAGCAAATTCGAGTCCTGTCATTTCGGCTTGTCTTCATCTCTAAGAACCTGAAGAAAGTTCCACAGCTTCAAGATCTACCCTGTCCTCCCCCCACAACGATTAAGCCCCTTGGCTCCAACCACGTCAGGCAGCAAATTCTCACCGCAGGATCAGCTTGTGTTACTTGCCCTGGTAACACATTTTCACGGTTGCGTCCCTATACCACGTGTGCTGTAAGGACGGAATAGAGTCCATCAGGTAAAAGTGGGAATGACCCAACAGATCTCTCCAGAAAAGCTTCCTGCGTCCATTTATATCTTGGGGGAAGGGAAGAAGTGGGAAATCACCTTACATGTCTCTTTTGGAAACACCCTTATAAAACATGCTTTCTAGATGGTACAGATTACAAACCCAGTTTTAAGGACTAAAACTTGCTTATTTCTTTCGTCTTCCAATTCTGACTTAACACTAAACGATGGTATTTTAGGTTTAAAGCTAAACGAGTCCATGTATATGTGACTCGTTTGGAGCATCTGCCCCCTTTGAGCTGAAGTAAACTCAGCTGCAGGTATTTTATCTTCTGACCAAAGCAACACGCGACATACTTAGAGCTGGAACACTACACCCCCTCCATCAGGTGACAAGTACGGGTACTAAAAGCAGCCTCAGCCTCCAGCTGTCATCCCTAGAGGGTGGGCTGCAAGGGGCACACATGAGGACGAGTCACTCTTCTAATGAGCCTATCAAACCAAACCAACAGGAAAAGTTGAGTTAGAGATCGAGAAAACTTAACATCTGACCATTTAAGAATGTATTTAAGACTGAGACAAGTACCAAAATAGGAAACACTGGGTAACCTTTACGTGATTAAGAGCACTGCCCTGAGCTAACATTATCTAAGTTACAAACAATAAGATAATGGGTTAGCATAGGCCTGGCTCCGAAGTCAAAAACTACAGATGACACATAACTACACAACTGTAACAAGCAGCTCCCCACAAATAGACTTATAACTTGAAATGGTTTCTGTGAATTAAAAATCTGTAAATGCAACAGGGGAACTCATTCAAGGGATCAGGTTTACTTCAAAGCAAAGAATACTGCATAGAGCACACGTTCACTGCTATAGTTTGGTTTGTAAACCCTGAATTTCAAATATACGGAAATTCACAGGACAGATACAAGGGGCTAAAACACGTTGGAAGTGCTCAAACTTACACGGGAGATGGAATTTGAAAGAGGCCCTTCTCACCTACCAGAGCAAAAATATAGGTAAGAATGAAAAGAAAGGGGTACTCTCATATTGATACTGAAATACAAATTGGAAGCTTTTTGGAGAGCAACTTAAGCTGTGCTCATTGCAGTTTAAAATGTATCCACACACACTTCTATGTATCTATTGCAGAAACACCTAGAGTCCAAGGATATTGACAGCTGTATTTGTACTACAATAGTACAGAGAACTTAGAAACATTTAAAATGTCTCAGACAGGTGAATCAATTTGCTATTTCCACACATGCAAAAAAGGAAAAACTGATGTTTTGATATGGAAGGATACCTACCACCTACTGCTAAAAAAAAAGTTGCAGAATGACTGAAAATTTTGATTTTTAAAATGTGTAAATAAGTGAATGAACGGATGTCTTAAATAGAAGTTATTCCTGAGGGTGGGAAAGGAAACAAGATTTCATTTTTATATAGTGTTTGTGCAATTTATGAGTAGCACTTTTATAATTAAGGTAAAAGGGAGTGATCAGATGTGAGATTATTAACCTGCTAATCCACTGGAAGTTCAATAGATGCTGAGAAAACCATTCAGGTCCTGCTGTAGCCTAGTAATGGCCAACAAAACCTGCAGGTCTCAAAGGGACAAACCTTATTCCTGAGATTCTTTGTATTTAAAAAGCTCATTTTCTACAAAACATACGCCTTTTCTCTTGTGCATTACCTAGAACATTTAGTAAATATTTTTCTTATGAGTTTCCCTAGGTCTCCATTCAAACATCACCAAAAATGACAGGAGATATAGGTATCACATTAGCCCAGAATCACAAGGTTACATCTTTAAATTTCCTAAAATCCTGTTCAAAGACTTCAAACGTTGCCTATGAAGTTCAGGTCCCCAACTTTTAGTGGAAAGAGTCACATCTTCCTTTCATCTCTTAGACTGGCAACACGCCTTTCATTCTTTTGCAAAGGACTCAACTTGATTTCTCAATGTGACTCTCCAAATAAATTTATTCAATAGGGCTGTTAAGCACAATGTAAAGCAAAGTAGAATACTGATTACACATAAAATACCCGCATCCAAAAATGTTTAGAAAAGGCATATAAGAAACAAGTTCACAAGCGTGCAGGTTTTAAATGGTAACCAACTTACGAGCACAATTTTAAAGTTACAGGAAGTACACCCTGTGTGTCTCTAACGCACTTAACATTAAACAGTGTTAGTATATTTCCCAGGCTAGAATGCACTTTCCACTTGCCCTAATAAACCGAAGCCCAGATAGGAAATGTAACCAGAACTAAGTAAACATAATATAGACAGGAGAGCCAGAAGGTGGGCTAATGAACTGGGATGCCTTCACAAGCAATAAGGCATTCTAAAAAAATGTTTCAACAAACAGAAGGGTATGAAAAGTTAGATATTTGGAGGATGTAAAATGCAAGTACAGATCAGAGGAGGAAAGGGATTTCTTTGTGGATGCAATGGAGAGCGTAAGATGAGATAACGTGCCTCATGCTGCAGCCGCCTTAAAACGTGCAAACTTTGTTCTGGATGACAATCGACCATCAAAAACCAGAAACAACTCACTAGCGTGATGCATGGCCCAAGGTTAGGGGTCCAACCCAATGCCTAGGTAAAAGATGAACAAACAGGAAGAGACACACACACCGTGATTTCATTTTTTTCTGAACACCCACACAGACAGCAGTTTCTGACAAGAATGTTCTTGGCAAAAAAAATAAGTTACAGGAAGGTTTTTCCCTTGAAGAAAAAGGCAGCTCTAGATGCAGATTACAAGGCAAAAATACCAATTTTTTCAGGCCCAAATTTACAGCCCTCATATTTTGAGAACATCTAAACTTTTTTTTGGGGGGGGGGGGGGGGGATCAAAGAAAAGATGACTAGAAACACTGTTCCTGTCTGGAATGCTTATTTCATGCTGTACCTGAAAATAAAATCCAACGTGGGCAGCTTACCTTGGCACTGGAAGCCTTGTTTCCCAAACCCCCTGAAAAACAAACAAGAAAATTTGTTAACATATTTTGTGTTGGATACCATATCTTAAGCCACTTATGTAACAAAGCTTTCTAGAGTTAAAGGTTTAGTACATGAAACCCAATGGTGTGACAGGAAAACATGCCTAAATAGCTCAGTGCACAGGGTCAATGCAACTTTGAAAAGATCTGGCCTCTAAAGGCTCCCTAAACCGTCTCAATGTATTCAAGTTGGTTTTTTTTTTTTTTTACACTGTTATCAATACTTAAATTTTAGGACAAGAACATGACTAGAAAGTTGTCGGCTACAATATTCAGGGAACAAGGAGGACCTGACCTTATGGAAAAAAAAAAAAAAAAAAAAAAGCTGAATTTGGTCCCTAAAGACCAACTGAAAATTGTTTCTCCCTAAAGACAACTAAAAAGCAGCTTCATCATTTGCTGTGAATTTAAGTATTTGTCTAGATAGTGCCAAGCAGCGCCACTCAACATTAAACTTTGGCTTAAAGGAGCCACATTTTACAAACTATCATCCCTATTTTTTGCATGTGAGATTATAATCTAATTTTACCTAGAACCAATAGCATTCAAAGCACATTCAGGAACTATTTTGTTCTTGTAAATTACTTTAGAGAATTTACTTTCTAAGCAGAAAACCCTGATGTGGACGTTAAACTGCAAACACCATTCCAAGTAGGATGAACTACATTAAAATTCTCAAAAGGTTATGAGTCAATCTCTTGCTTTACATAGCATATTAAGTTTACAAAGCACTTCACCTATCTTTATAATTAACTTAGCCATCCCCACCCAGAAAATAATTAAACGCACTTAGTTTTAAAATAGCAGTACTTTAATATTTAAATGACTTAGCAAATCAAGGAACCAAAAAAGGAAACAAAAAATTAAAACCACTGCTAGACAAAGCTGGGGAATATTTTCCTGGAACTTCCAAGGGGTTGCTTTACAGCTAAGCAGAGAACTGTTTCAGGGATTACTCCAGGAGAAAGAGGACGGGGAGATCTTTATTTTCCACTCACATTACACCTGGTGACCTGACATGCCACATCAGTTCACCAGGGGCTAGCAATTGATAGTGGAAAGTCTTCAGCTAGCCTGGATATATATGTTGCAAGTCCCTTTTCTACCTTACCTACTTCCTGCAAAAGTAATCAGTAGTCTAGCTGTTCCCTTTTAATGGAATTTCACAGCTGACACATGAGGCTGAAGACCTCCCCTCAACTAAATGCAATCTCCTCTGCCCTGATACTCCAAGAACTTAAATAGTCTCATCTACAACTACCTACGTGCTCCTTGGAGCACAATTACTTCCTACGCTGACTACACATTGGAAACCATTCATAGAGGTGGCTGTGTTTTTCCTGGGTACTGTGGAGCTGATTTCTAAGACAATTAAGCACCTTATTAGCACCACGTTGGTGGCGCTCTCTTGGAGATGACCTTCCTAGCTGTAATGGATTCAGATAAAGCCACATAAAGTTAAACCCCTATTGATTAGCACCCTGTTTGTGGGCCTTGCCCTTAATTTTCCCAGGTGTGATAAATTCAGATAAAGCCATACATGAAGGAAAAGTTGAACACCTATTAATTAGCACCATGTTTGTGGGACTTGCCCTTAGAGATGATTTTCCCCAGATGTGATACATCCAGGTAGCATTCTCCAGCGGTCCCCAACAAGATCCATATGCCAGCTGGCTGGTGGCAGGGCGTACTCTATGCTGTCAACCTGGTGCCATTTCCCAGCCTGGCGGGGGATGAGGGGGAGCAGGAGTTAAGGAACCCTAGACATGTCTGACTTGGGGAGGATGTCCTACATCCAAGAACCAGAAGTAGAAGCAGCAGAGTGGCTAACAACCTAACTGAAAAGAACCTACTGCTCCTCCAAGTGGAGCATTTGGACTGCCTTTAGTTTCAGCTTTCTTAGAAAAAAATTGAGGGAGAATCGCTGACCTTTATGAAAAAAAGTTCATAAAAGCCACAGGTCTCTCACGGGAAGAAAGCACATACACGATTTCCTCTACTTTCACAGGGTTCAGAGAACCCCCCTCTCTGAAGCCCACCACTTACCCATTCCCCGAAACCCCCGGGGACCCCCGAGTTAATGTCTGCGTTCATTGAAAGTTACCAGAACTCTGACACCTTCAGCCCTGACGACGTTTTTCTTACAGGCTCTGTCCTCACGCGCTGGGTTTTACCAGCCTAACCCCGTGCCGACGCGAGTTATTTTAAAGCACTCCACCTGCCCTTCTGCCCTTTAGCCGCTCCCTTTAGCTCCCCCTCCCCTGCACGCTTTCAACAGTTGGTCGCCTGCCCGCTCTCCCCGGGCTCACGCAGGGAAGCCGGAGTCACTCCGTGGCCAGCAAGTACGGGTTACAACGGGCAGGACCCAAGGCTGCAGCGGAGCCAGAGCCCAAGCCCAAGAAAAAAGGCCGCGTCCACAACCGCGAGGCACCCGGCCCCGCTCGCCCCCAGCCCGGGCCGCGCCGCGCAGCCGCCGCCTGCCAGACTCTTCCCCGGGGACCCGCCCTCCGACTCTCCGCGGCGCTCGGCCCTGACCCGCGGAGACTCCCGGTCTGTTCTTGGGACGCCGGAGAAGAGTGGGGGGCCTCCGTGTCGCCCCCTGCCGCGGCGGGGGGCGAGCGGCCGGCGACTCGCGGGAGTCCCACCCGCGTGCGTCCTGCCCGGCGCGCGCGTAGCGTCCCAGGCGAGTTGGGACTCCCAGCGGCTCCCCAAGTTCCCCGGGAGAGGCGGCCAAGACTGGGGAGGACCGGCCCCGCGCCCCGCCGCGCGCACCCACCAGATAAAGTCGGTGCAGTGGCTGCAGAAGGTGGGCTGCTTGAAGAAGCGGGCGATGAAGCGGTGGTCCTTCACCTCGTGCACGTTCTTCTGTCTCAGCGCCCCTTTGCGAGCGAAGCGGTTGGCCACGTCCTGAGGCGCCGCCGAGTCGTTGGCCGAGAAGACGTCAGCCATGGCCCCCCCGCCGCCTGCTACCTCCGCCAGGAGCGGGGAGCGCGGGCGGCGGCCGAGGCGCGGCAGGAGTCGGGCCGGAGCGGAGCCGCGCCGGAGCGGAGCCGCGGGCGCGCTGCTGGCCCCTCGCGCAACTGGTCATGAAAGGCGGGGGCGCGCCGGCGCTGGAGGAGTCGGCGCCCCCGCGCTTTCCGCGCCGCCGGGGAAGCAGAGGGGGCGCCCGGGCCTGGGAGCTAAAGGACGCCGCGGAAGCGGGCCCGCTCTCCGCCACCACCGTCTCCTTCTTCTCCCAGCCTTCCTACCCCTGGGCCGCCCGCTCCGTCCACCGCTCACGCCGTCCAGCTTGTCGTCGTCGCCGTCTCCCTCCTCGCAGCCTCCGCTCGCCGCGCTCGGACGCTCACTTACCTCTTCCGCTTCCAGGACCCACCGTATTTCTGGCCCAAGAGCCCAGCTTTTATAAGCTTGCATCAACTTGAGGTTTCACCTGGCTCCAATATCCAAACCCCGCCCCTCCCGGGCCACCACGCTGTTTATTATACACGGCAGGAGAAAAGGAGCTACTTTCAATCAGGGAACACGGGCCCTTTCACACGCCTCCAATTGAATTGTGCTTCACCTGCGTCTTGTATAGACGTCTAATTTGGATGTTAGGACGGTTAAAGGACTCGTTCTGGTTGTTTATCCCGTTACTCATTGACTACCACAGTTAAATCGAGGATGATCAGGCTTTCTTGATTTTACAAGTCCAGAACCTTAATTTAGAAATCGTTTTGCATCCTAGGCTAACAACTGCCTTACTGGCAGGTGCAGAGCGCAGCCAGTACATTTGTAAATTACCAAGTAAAACTGCTTGTGAAAGGGTGGCTGGCATGGGTCTTCGAGGACGCACGTGGGGTTGTACCAACTAATCACTTGCTGAATATTCATTAGTTCTGCCTGGAGGATGCTAAAATACATGAGGGAAACAACGTTTCATTATGGTTTAATTTCATCGTCAGATTCACTAAATTCACAAAACAACTTCATCTACTGAAGACAGCGAGAAAGGGAACATGTTTAATCCTTCGAGAGGTTTAAAAAAGCAAGAAAGCTTTCCTAAGATCTATACTATCTTAGAGCATATCACATAGACCAAATAGAGCTACCATTTTTTAAGATTGCCCAGTTGAACGCATGATGATAGGAATGGCTTTTATGTTTTGACACGTGTTAGTTATTGACCCGCCCTTAATGGGGCATGCACTTTGCTGGCTCACTTGCAATCACTCCTGCCAATGTACTTGGAGCTTAAAGAGATTGCACCTGCTTGCTATTCTGGTCAGAAATTTTGCCAGTAGTGGTGGCCCCCTCCAGTCCAAGGGGGCAAAAAAAAAAGGAATGAAAAGCAGGGGATGTCGGGAATATTGAGCAAATTCTCCGCAAAACACCATAAGCGTCTCACACCATGGTTGTTGATGGCTTAATACTTGTAAATCACATGGAACACGGTAGAAAGAAACAGATTCTTGTCTGCATCTAAGACCAAGGTCCTTACACCTTTTACGAAGACAAGCTTCCTTCTGTTTCCCTGAAACCTTGATATAAGGACAGAAGGAAAATATGGGAGAGCTGGAGGGAGGAGTTGCAGATGGGGTGATCTCTGAGCACAGTGACAGGCAAGATGAGCTAAGAATCAAGTGGACCTTGGCAGCAGCCTGGCCATCACCTGTGTGCAAGTGGAGCCACTGATCTCAGCAGTGGGGAGACCAGAGAGAGACAATATCTCTTTTCTTTCTGGTTGTGGCTTTGCTCTCTTGCCTCAGTGCTTACTGTCGTTCCTTATGGGCAAGGCGAGAACTCACTGGAAGTTTGTTGTTTGATGGCTGGGCTGAGCGTGAGTGCTCTATTGCCTACAGATGAGCTCACTTGTGACGCAGGGCATGGGGTTACACCTGGGGCGGGGAATCCTCGGGCAGTGGAACACCACCCCCGGCAAGGACAGATGAGAGTGTGGGCCACAAGTGGCCCTGAAACCGAGCCAGACCCTGGGCGCTCCTGGACACAAAAGCCTTTCTGTGTCCCCCACTTCTCAATTACAGGAAATAGGCTTCATTCAGCTTCCAGGACCTTCCCTGAGTTCCAACAGGCAGGTTCAAACAGTTACTAATCAGGGAAGGGAGGGGATGCAGAGACCAGGGAGGAGCGGTCAGGAAACAATAGTGCAGCCTTGGCGCAGGGCGTTGATCCCCCCCCTCAAAGGATACACACATAATCTCTTTGAGCTGTTTTGCAGATACTGAAACCCCCTCCAGGTGGGAGAAGTTAACTGCACGCTGCCCACAGCACGTAGACCCCAGACCCGGTGGACCCAGAAGGCTGGTGATGCTGACTCCCGATTACCTCCCCACCAACCAATCAGAAGAAGGTCCACGAGCTGACCACGCCTCTTTGAACCATTACTAGAAAACTCCTCACTACCCCCTCCAGGTTGGGACACACAGTTTTGAGGGCATGAGCCTGCTGTGCCCCCCTTTGCCTGGGAAAATAAAACTATCTACTCCACCCAAAACCCTGTCTCCGAGATTTAATTTGGCGTCCGAGTACAGAGGCCAGATTCAGCTTCAGCCCCAGCAGCCCACCTGAGAAGGATCTCCATGGTGGCACTAAAATGGAGGGGATTCCAGAAAGGGGAACCCCTGGGGAGGTGGAGTGGTCAGTGAGACATGGACGTTAGCAATGATTTTAGAGTCTGCTGTTTCCTGGGGAAAGTGCAGGAGAGCAGGTATGGTAGACTGAACACACCGTTTGTGAGAGCCCTCCTCTGTGACCCCTGACCTTGAGGAGGAAGTCCAACACTCTTTGCAGAGGTGCTGCCTGGACCAGACTTTTGGAAAACCTCAAAGCAAAATACCATCGATCCCTAATTAGATACACTGTATTATAAGAAGCCCATAATTCCCTGGTAAGGGAAAGCAGGATGTAAAACAATATTCAGAGACGCCATTTTTTAAAATGTATGTACACCCACATCTATATGATATAAATATGCTTGTGCACGTACACACAGGTGTATACAAAGATATACATGGCAAAATGTTCATTTAAGTGACTATCTCTGGATGGTGGGAATATAAACGCTTTTCTGTGCAGGAAGAGAAGCCTTTGGCCTAGGGTTTACATTTTGAAAGGGCATTGGAAACCATAATTTTTAATGTTGTCACCAAAAGGAGGTATTTGTTATTTTTAACACAAAAGGTTTTATTGCCAGAAATTCACTGCTGTTGCATGGACTAGAGATGGTACTAATTTGCATGTGAAATGCTCGGGAATTGTTTTCAGCCGCTGACCCTCACCTCCTCTTTAGCCCCAATCCACAACCAGAAGTTAAATTCCTGAGAGGACTGCCCAAGGAAGCTTCTAGGGGTCCAAGGGTGCTGCTTCCTCCACAAAGTGTTTTTCCTGTACTTTCTCCCAGGTTTTCTCTAGTAGCCATGGCACAAACCAGATGGAGGACCCAGAAAACCTGGGTTCGAGGCCGAGCTTCAGCACTAACTGATTTGTGTAATTTGGATAAATTAACTTCTCAATTCTCTCTCTCTCCATCTAAAAATGGAGATATTGATAACAACCCTAGGATTTTCTTAAGCATTTAACCCGATGATACATATATATAAATGTATATAAATATAAATAAAACCAGATGGTGGGTAGTAAATCCTAAAGTCTCCTGCAAATGCAAGGTAGGATGGTGGGTCTCAGCTTTACCAAGCATGCATTTCGGAGAAAGTGAATGGTGAGACACCCCCCACCCCAGATGCCGTTCCCTCCACTCCCGGTGGCTGTGACTTAGGAAGCAAAAGATGACCCAAGGAAGGAGTACCAAAAATGTAAGCTGGCGTTCATGTTTTAAACCCACTGCATTTCCCACCACCCTCACCCTTAAAGTGCTTTTTATGAAAGGCCTGGATTCTTTGAAAAAACTAGTTGCAAGAGGACCCAAGCAACTCTCATAGTCTTCCATTCACCTAGAATTTAACGGGAATGGGAGCAGGTACTTAGTTGCTTCCCTGAACCTGCCTGGGGGACGTATCAGCCCATGGAAGTGACAAAACTACGAATCCCATGTACCTGTCCCCCAGTTCCAACAATTATCAATTCATGATGAATCCTGTTTCATCTGTCCCCTGCCTTATCTCTCGATCTCTAGATAATATCAATAAAAGCTTAAAACAAGGCAAAACATGCCAAAATATCAACTCCAGGTGGAGACTTGAGGGCGGTAGTTATGTTCATTATTTGTTGGTTTCACAGATATTCACATATCAAAACTCGCCCAACTGTAGACTTTAAATATGCATACAGGGACTTCCCTGGCGGTCCAGTGGTTAGGACTCCTCACTTCCACTGCAGGGGGCACAGGTTCGTTCCCTGGTTGGAAAACTAAGATCCCGCAAACTGTGTGGCACTCGGTCAAAAAATAAAATAAATAAATATGCGTAGAGTTAACTTAAATCAATCGTGTACTCAACAAAACTGTAAACATGTTTAAAGCTAAATAGCCAAGTCCACTAGTCCAAATAAACAGGTGAACTGAAGACGAGGGGAAGAACCCGTGGGCCCTCCCACAGGGCTTGCAGCTGCCTTTCGCCGGAGGTTAAGACAAGCCTGCTCTGTCCAGTAGGTGTGAGAGTCAAGTTTAGTTCCAACCCCAAAGCACTCAGGGGCTCCATGTGTGTGGTGGGTGCTTCCAACCAGACTGTTCAAGCCCTCTTTTTTCTGCTTTCCACGCCCCCCACCACATTCACTCGGAACCCTGCACGTTCTCAGTAGGCTCTCAGAAACCACCCGCCCCCAAAGATATCCCCTCCTCTGCCCCCAGCTACAGGAACTTTTACTCCTCCTCTCCTTTACTATTTTTTTTGTACTCTTTATTATATATCACTTTCAACAAAACCTCCCTCTATCTTTCCCTTCAGGGTAAGGCCTTCCATCTTCCTTCTATGATTTTGCATCAGAGAAAGTCTAGGAGCCGCCAGTTTTAAAAAGGGTAGTTTGGGGTAGAAGTGAGCATCAGGGTGGCTGAGCAGAGGGAGAGTGCTGGCAATTACTAGGTTCAATGCCTTTGTTTAA